AGTATGCGATAAGATTTGTACGAGACGTGTCCAGTGTTTACAAGCCAGCCAGTGTGTGCGCATCTAAGGATACATTCGGTACTTTCTATATTATCCATATTATCACTGTTTTTGGTGCTTGTTTCTGCAAAATAAGTAACCATGGGCCCCAAGAAAGCTTCTAGTGCCAACCCATCGAGACCAAGGGTGCTAATGACTATTGAAATTAAGGAAATGTGTGCAAAGTGGCTTGAAGTGCAAACCTTTTTTGACGAAAATCACCCTGACACAGCTACTGCAAGCCGTGTTGGCAACCTGTACACTGACAATGTTGTGAACCACTTTAGGAAAGTCATAAAGGAAAGAGGTACAGGCCTCTATGGACAGATATGTTGTGCGACAGAAGTCCAGTGACTCTCAAGCTGGTCCTAGTGGCATTAAAAGAAGAAGGGAAGTAACCCCGGAAAAGGACTTGCTGCCTCAAGTCCTAATTCAGGGGGATTCCCCTTCTAAACATTAAAAACTTCGACACACTCCCCTCCTCCCATCACATCAATCATCACCAGATCTTCATTAAAGATAAGTGTCAATTATTCTATTGTGATTATTCTATTGTTATTGTTATTGTAATTATTATATTGCATTAAACGTAATATATCATGTGGTAAGTGTTTTTTTTCATACTTTTGGGTGTCTCGCACGGATTAATTTGATTTCCATTATTTCTTATGGAGAAAATTGATTCATTTTCCGATAATTTTGGTTTACGATGAGCTCTCAGGAACGGATTAATATCGTGAACCGGGGGTCCACTCTAATCCGTTCCAGACACCCAAAAATATTAATAAAAAATACATTTTATAGAGAATAACTATAGTTTTACATACAGAAAACAGTGAGAAATTAATATAAAGCACTAATGAAATTGATATATGAACATTTAAATTACTTTTACCTTTATTGAAGACTTGTTGGTGTATGGAAGACGGCGAGGAGGGCAGAGGGAGTAGAGTTTATCTCTACCACCATCACTACCACCCTCTACGAGTAACAAAGTAAGACTGAGTCACAAACTATGAGTGGTTGCATCCCGCCAGCAGGTGGATGCATCTGGTTTGGACGATTTCTGAGCGGATGTACGAAAAGGGGGGGAAAGTTTTGCCAAAAATGGGTGAAAACTTAATTGTACGATAAACGGACCGGATGAAAACCGGGGTTCCATTGTGTATATATTCTCTTATTAATTAAACATTTTTAAATATTTATGTTCATGATAAATGCATAATTTTCTTTAACTGAATAGTTGTGGGGAAAATCCAAATACATAATGCAGTACTATTAGAATTTGTGATTTTTTTTTTAGTCTGGTAGTACAGTATAGAGTAAACATTTGGACATCGTGTCATTAGTACAGGGATGCTTAGTCATTTAACCCGTAAACAGTCCAAACGTATATACGTTCTCTCGCGTAGTGCCCCAAATTTTTTGAGAAAAAAAAATCGTATTTTTTTAATAGGAAAAAAGAGCATGTGGTACCCAGGCATCCCCAATTTTTTTAATATGGCGCACAGTGAGTGCGCACACCCATTCTCTCATGTCTAGGCGGCTCAGGCTTATCATGGCAATGTTGAATGTTATTTTTTATTTTTTTATTATCACACCGGCCGATTCCCACCAAGGCAGGGTGGCCCGAAAAAGAAAAACTTTCACCATCATTCACTCCATCACTGTCTTGCCAGAAGGGTGCTTTACACTACAGTTTTTAAACTGCAACATTAACACCCCTCCTTCAGAGTGCAGGCACTGTACTTCCCATCTCCAGGACTCAAGTCCGGCCTGCCGGTTTCCCTGAATCCCTTCATAAATGTTACTTTGCTCACACTCCAACAGCACGTCAAGTATTAAAAACCATTTGTCTCCATTCACTCCTATCAAACACGCTCACGCATGCCTGCTGGAAGTCCAAGCCCCTCGCACACAAAACCTCCTTTACCCCCTCCCTCCAACCCTTCCTAGGCCGACCCCTACCCTGCCTTCCTTCCACTACAGACTGATACACTCTTGAAGTCATTCTGTTTCGCTCCATTCTCTCTACATGTCCGAACCACCTCAACAACCCTTCCTCAGCCCTCTGGACAACAGTTTTGGTAATCCCGCACCTCCTCCTAACTTCCAAACTACGAATTCTCTGCATTATATTCACACCACACACTGCCCTCAGACATGACATCTCCACTGCCTCCAGCCTTCTCCTCGCTGCAACATTCATCACCCACGCTTCACACCCATATAAGAGCGTTGGTAAAACTATACTCTCATACATTCCCTCTTTGCCTCCAAGGACAAAGTTCTTTGTTTCCACAGACTCCTAAGTGCACCACTCACTCTTTTTCCCTCATCAATTCTATGATTCACCTCATCTTTCATAGACCCATCCGCTGACACGTCCACTCCCAAATATCTGAATACGTTCACCTCCTCCATACTCTCTCCCTCCAATCTGATATTCAATCTTTCATCACCTAATCTTTTTGTTATCCTCATAACCTTACTCTTTCCTGTATTCACCTTTAATTTTCTTCTTTTGCACACCCTACCAAATTCATCCACCAATCTCTGCAACTTCTCTTCAGAATCTCCCAAGAGCACAGTGTCATCAGCAAAGAGCAGCTGTGACAACTCCCACTTTGTGTGTGATTCTTTATCTTTTAACTCCACGCCTCTTGCCAAAACCCTCGCATTTACTTCTCTTACAACCCCATCTATAAATATATTAAACAACCACGGTGACATCACACATCCTTGTCTAAGGCCTACTTTTACTGGGAAAAAATTTCCCTCTTTCCTACATACTCTAACTTGAGCCTCACTATCCTCGTAAAAACTCTTCACTGCTTTCAGTAACCTACCTCCTACACCATACACTTGCAACATCTGCCACATTGCCCCCCTATCCACCCTGTCATACGCCTTTTCCAAATCCATAAATGCCACAAAGACCTCTTTAGCCTTATCTAAATACTGTTCACTTATATGTTTCACTGTAAACACCTGGTCCACACACCCCCTACCTTTCCTAAAGCCTCCTTGTTCATCTGCTATCCTATTCTCCGTCTTACTCTTAATTCTTTCAATTATAACTCTACCATACACTTTACCAGGTACACTCAACAGACTTATCCCCCTATAATTTTTGCACTCTCTTTTATCCCCTTTGCCTTTATACAAAGGAACTATGCATGCTCTCTGCCAATCCCTAGGTACCTTACCCTCTTCCATACATTTATTAAATAATTGCACCAACCACTCCAAAACTATATCCCCACCTGCTTTTAACATTTCTATCTTTATCCCATCAATCCCGGCTGCCTTACCCCCTTTCATTTTACCTACTGCCTCACGAACTTCCCCCACACTCACAACTGGCTCTTCCTCACTCCTACAAGATGTTATTCCTCCTTGCCCTATACACGAAATCACAGCTTCCCTATCTTCATCAACATTTAACAATTCCTCAAAATATTCCTTCCATCTTCCCAATACCTCTAACTCTCCATTTAATAACTCTCCTCTCCTATTTTTAACTGACAAATCCATTTGTTCTCTAGGCTTTCTTAACTTGTTAATCTCACTCCAAAACTTTTTCTTATTTTCAACAAAATTTGTTGATAACATCTCACCCACTCTCTCATTTGCTCTCTTTTTACATTGCTTCACCACTCTCTTAACTTCTCTCTTTTTCTCCATATACTCTTCCCTCCTTGCATCACTTCTACTTTGTAAAAACTTCTCATATGCTAACTTTTTCTCCCTTACTACTCTCTTTACATCATCATTCCACCAATCGCTCCTCTTCCCTCCTGCACCCACTTTCCTGTAACCACAAACTTCTGCTGAACACTCTAACACTACATTTTTAAACCTACCCCATACCTCTTCGACCCCATTGCCTATGCTCTCATTAGCCCATCTATCCTCCAATAGCTGTTTATATCTTACCCTAACTGCCTCCTCTTTTAGTTTATAAACCTTCACCTCTCTCTTCCCTGATGCTTCTATTCTCCTTGTATCCCATCTACCTTTTACTCTCAGTATAGCTACAACTAGAAAGTGATCTGATATATCTGTGGCCCCTCTATAAACATGTACATCCTGAAGTCTACTCAACAGTCTTTTATCTACCAATACATAATCCAACAAACTACTGTCATTTCGCCCTACATCATATCGTGTATACTTATTTATCCTCTTTTTCTTAAAATATGTATTACCTATAACTAAACCCCTTTCTATACAAAGTTCAATCAAAGGGCTCCCATTATCATTTACACCTGGCACCCCAAACTTACCTACCACACCCTCTCTAAAAGTTTCTCCTACTTTAGCATTCAAGTCCCCTACCACAATTACTCTCTCACTTGGTTCAAAGGCTCCTATACATTCACTTAACATCTCCCAAAATCTCTCTCTCTCCTCTGCATTCCTCTCTTCTCCAGGTGCATACACGCTTATTATGACCCACTTCTCGCATCCAACCTTTACTTTAATCCACATAATTCTTGAATTTACACATTCATATTCTCTTTTCTCCTTCCATAACTGATCATTTAACATTACTGCTACCCCTTCCTTTGCTCTAACTCTCTCAGATACTCCAGATTTAATCCCATTTATTTCCCCCCACTGAAACTCTCCTACCCCCTTCAGCTTTGTTTCGCTTAGGGCCAGGACAAATAAAACGTATATATACGTTTGGACCGTTTATGGGTTAAACTTGTTTGTGCTTCATCAATTATGCTTAATTTCAGGTGTATTTGGAGTGTTATGCAGTGCACCAAATTTTTAATACATATGTTGCTTAAAGTAAACCAATTTGGTAAAAAAAAAATACAATAATAGTGAAATTAAGGAATTTTTTTTTTTTTTTGTGCCCAACTTCTGTAGTATAGTACATGATATATGCCTGCACAAAGAAATTTGTGTAACAGTCCTTGATTACAGCTATTTTAAACTGCTTTCAGGACAACTGGGATGATGAGGAAGAAGAGAGAAAAGAGGCCACAATAGACACTACCACAGCCCAAGTTAAAAAGAAAAAGAAGAAATTATCAGAAATTATTGCTGAGAAAGAGGCAAGTCATTCATTTACTATTATTGGACTAATCTTTATTATACATCTTTTGGTTTTGATGTTCAGGTATAGAGCATGTAGAATAAGCAGTAGTCACTTAAATTCTCTATGCCCATAATTTTCACTTTTACCATTATTTGTCAAGTTTCTCTATTTTAGGGTTGGTGAACTGTATCAAAATATTCAGTCCTGTTTTAGATTAGGTCAATGTAATTGTGAGAAAAATCTCAAGTTCATATCATCAAGCTTGTCTGTATTTCTTTTGCAAGGTTATATACTATGTGATGTGCAAGTGATGAAATTTTTGGGGTTCAGGAAGCTTTATAGAGTTGAGATTATAATTTAATTTTGATTAATCTTGTAATGGTGGGAGACTTGTTTCCGTGACCTAGTAAGTAATATTGGCAGGCACCCTAAAGTAAAAATAGTTGATTTGCCTTTTTCTGCTGTTCTGGTTACTGGCAGAGGCCAGACTGATTGCTATCAGCATAGTACCGAGGAGCAGAATTTGTCCTGAACCTTTGGCACTTTCAGAACTTCTGTGCTAAAAAATATTAGTAGGTTTGTAAACAGTAACCATCCAGGAGGGTACTACTGTCCTGTCATACAAATATATAATAGAAGTCTGATAAATACTTTATCTTCTATCAGGATTACTTTTTTTTTTCCTTGTAAATGTGTAATTTGAAGGTATACCTTACTAACTTGTATGTATCATACATTTAACTTCATTTTTCTGCACGTTTCTTGTCACTATTCCCCCCCCCCCCCCCCCCGAAGTTCCTTTCTAATTGAGAAAGACTGATTTTAAATTGGGCCACAGGAACAGTGATTCTTGGAACCATTAGCAGGTGAAGCTTGTGTGTAGCTGCAGGATCAGAGCTAAATTTATAAAGTTTTTCTTTGGTATTTAATCGAGCATCATTTTTTAGTATTTGTTACTTGTGACGCTAGCTTCCTCCCCTTGTAACTCGTCCCATTAAATTGTTCTATTGATTCTGTTAAGACAACTTTCTGGTATCCTTTTGGTGCTAGGGAGTTATTTATTCTTAGTATCCTTTTATCTTGTGTGGTTATTCTCTCTCCTGTCAGTCAGTAAGGGCATGTCTACTTCTTTAGCCATTCACAACTTTTTTTTCTATGAATTAGCTTGTCCACTGCTGCACATTTCCATTTTGGCCTAGCATGTATTGTGAATATTTTTTTCTTGTAGCATCTCCACATATCTAAAGACGTTTTTAATATTGGGCAGTGTTCAGCGAGTTCCCTAGGATTTCATTAATATTTTCTAGCGACATTTCTGTCAGTTTTAAGTCATATTAGCCTTTCTTTCTGATGCTTCTGATAGTTTATAATGGTATTATTCATGTAGCCTGTGCTTGCATTCTCCCTCCCCCCCTTTTTTTTTTTTATGCTCTTTATCCATATTCAGTTTCATCAGCTGTCTGTTGTTCCACTTGCTCAGTCTGTCTGGATCTTCCTGCAAGGATAATTTTATTGCTTGAATAGGATCTTTGTATCATCAACAAACATGTTCATAAAGTTTGTCTTCCTGGAGGTTGCTCGCAAAAACTAGAAATATTACCGGGGCAAGCACTCATCCTTGTAGCACCTCACTAGTGACATTTTCCCATAAGGATAGTTTGCTTCCAAGTGGAAAATCTCATCCGCTGCAATAATAGATGTGATTTACAGTTTCCAGATTAGTTTTTCATTAAGAACTTTCTGAAAGCATTCTTGAAATCTAATTAAATGCACTGTCCATTCATTTCTTTCTTCAATAATCTGTGACTGTCATAGTAGCTAGTTTGGGTTTGACATTGTTATGCACTATGCAATATCATTGTCATTTGTGAATACGAGGTAGTGTTTTCTAGTTTTGTCACTTCTATCACTTGCTGGGTTCCAGTAAATTTATCACTATTGTTTGTTCTGTATACAACTTTATATGAATTACTACTTAGAATTTTCTGCTATACCTGTCTTGCATGGGTTCTACACACAAGTCACCTATAATTTAAATTCACAAAGTGTGAAATTATAGCAACAGCCAACACGTAGTATTAAACTGTACATTTTATTTTTTTATGGAACATTGTTATTGGCAGTAAATAAAAATAACATTCAATGGTATTTCAAACAGAATATCAATAAATTGCACTTTGTGGTACCTAGTCCCATAAGTGTTGCTTCTAACAAGTTGGCTAACTGCTGCTAAATGTACTGTCCTTGACCTTCCTGTTTCTAGTTGTATTTTAAGCACATCAGATTATTATCCTTCTGTCATTTAGTTTGCAATAAAGATTACATATTTGTTGGACTTCAAATATTCTTAATAGTAATAAATTTGATTTTAAATCCTTTGCTTTTCGGTGGATAGTAGCATGATGCAACTGGGAGGCGATTTTGGCGTAATTGTGTATAGACAATATTGTATTGAGCATGCATATTGACCATGTTGTATTGAGCTTACATGTAGAATTCTGAAAAAGCTCTTCCCTCTCTATTGCTCGTACTGTTTTCTTCTTTCTGTACATCAAGAGGCTACTTTTGGATAGGAAATATTAGAACATGTCAGATTTGTGTGCTGCATAAAATCTGTAGTTTATTGATAGAAGGATACAACTGTTTTATTCTGTTTTCGGTCATGTAATGTAATCCTGATAAGTTTGTTTTTGTTTTCCTTATTCTATTAAGCCTTTGGTAGTTTGTGAATAAATGGCCCCCTCTTGTCAATGACCATCGAATGTTTAGAGGGAACTGGCTATCTGGTGAAAGGGTTCAAATTAAGACCTAGTAATTGTATGTTGTGTGGTGTAAATATTATGCAGAGAATTCTTAGTATGGAAATTAGGAGGAGGTGTGGAGTTACTAAAAGTATTAGACAGAAGACTGAAGAGGGGCTATTACAACCCAGGAGTCCAAATGGCCTGTTATCCTGGGTGTAAAGGGAGCAAAATAAACACAGCAGAAAGGTTTTGACTTATATTATCCTTCACCAATTTAGAACAGCAATATGTACACTATATACAGTGATAGGTATTAGTGCACTCCACGGTAAGCAAGGCAGAATAGAAGCCACATGAGAGCAGACCGTGCTTCAACCAGCTCTAGAATGGGAATAACAAGGGCAGACAGGAGAGTGGTACCCACATAACCTCTGCGATTGCCAAAACCATCTTATTGGCTGGAACCTGGTTACTAGTTGAACGACGGGGCCCCATCGTCAACTCTTAGTTACCTGGTTCGCTGGTTGGGGGAGATAGCCTGTAAATGAGGGTGTGTACATGTGCCGAATAAAGGTTACGCACTCTTTGCATGCCACACCCTCACCCCGAGAAGGCTCAGGATTAGGCTGTCACCTCCCAGTGGTAACCGTGCTGCCATGGCACAAAATAATGGGACCGCCTTTCTTCTCCACCATCCAACTCTTAGATAGAGCTCAGCTTTTCTCGTGACAAAAAACCAAACCCTAAACTCAGAGTGAGACAGCAGTCAGTCGGGCTAGCATAGGTCCAAGATACAGGCGGACGGTAGCCCGCATCCCCTCGCAAAAAAAAAAAAAACCCACACCAGGGGATGAAAAAAAAAAGGCATGGAAAGGGTTACCACAAGTAACCTAACATCCTAACCTAATTAAATAATATAGTTAGACTCTAGATAAAGAGTCTGCCAACATATTTTCTTTGCCGGCAATATATTTAATTCTGAGCGAGTATGGTTGCATCCTTAAAGCCCAACGCATGAGCCTTGTGTTGTGGTTCTTCATGGCTTGGAGATATACTAGAGGATTGTGATCACTGTAGACGGTGACCACCTGCGATGTCTGGCCCACATAAACATCGAAATGCTCCAAAGCCAGTACCAGCGCGAGGGCTTCTTTTTCAATGGTAGAGTAAGCCCTCTGATGCGGCTGGAACTTTGCAGAGTAGTAGGCTACAGGCTGCAACTCCTCGTTCTCGTTTTGCAATAGTACTGCCCCAACCCCAGACTCGCAAGCATCAACCTGTAATGAAAAAGGTTTGGAGAAGTCTGGAGACAAAAGAATGGGTGCAGTACACAATAATCTTTTTGCTTTGTCAAAAGCATTTTTACAGTCTGGGGTCCAATTAAAGGGAACTTAGTGACTGGTAAGAGAGGTAAGAGGGGCTACAATATCTGAGAAATTCTTACAGAATCTTCTGTCCAATTAAAGGGAACTTAGTGACTGGTAAGAGAGTTAAGAGGGGCTACAATATCTGAGAAATTCTTACAGAATCTTCTGTAAAATCCTATCATGCCTAGGAAACGTTGAAGAGATGTCCTATCATGAGGAACTGGATAATCTTTAATAGCAAGAACTTTAGCAAGTTTAGGAGCAACTTTACCACTACCTACTTCATGGCCTAGAAAAGTGACAGTGGCCTGGCCAAAGGAAGATTTAGATAAATTAACAGTTAAATGGGAACTCTGAAAGGTCTCAAAAAGAGCCTTAAGTCTAAGTAGGTGTTGATCCCAAGTATCAGACACCACAACAATATCATCCAGGTACGCTGCCGTGCCTTCAAGTCCTTTAATGGCCTGATGGATAAGTTTCTGGAATGAAGAGGGGGAGTTTTTCATTCCGAAGGGGGTAACTGTGTATTGATAATGACCTCCTGGAATTGCGAAGGCAGAGATTTCCTTCGCCTTATCCGTCAAAGGTACCTGATAGTAACCTTTAAGGAGATCTAACTTGGACACAAAAGTAGCCTTACCGACAAAGTCAATTACATCATCCAGACGAGGAAGAGGGTAAGCATCTGTGATTGTGACCTCATTCACCTTATGGTAGTCTGTGCACATACGAAACCCTCCATCAGCCTTTTTAACAAGGATGCACGGTGATGCCCATGGACTAGATGACTCCTCCACTAAACCATGCTCAAACAGAAATTCTACTTCCTGCTGAAGTATCCTCTGCTTTTCAGGATTAGCTCTGTAGGGGGAGAGTTTAATAGGTTTAGAGTTTCCCACATCTACATCATGATAACCTAACGTACATTTTTTTGGCACATCTGAAAAAATATTAGGATATGACTGTAGAAGCTCAGTTAAACTTGTTGCTTGCGTTTCAGATAGGAGTGAATGGAGATGCATGGTTTTTGGGACCTGATGAGCTGTTGGAGTGTGAGCAGGGTAATATTTTGTGAAGGGATTCAGAGAAACCGGTTAGCTGGACTTGAGTCCTGGAAATGGGAAGTACATTGCCTGCACTTTAAAGGAGGGGTTTGGGATATTGGCAGTTTGGAGGGACATCTAAGCTGTCGTGTCTGAGTGCCTCTGCAAAGACAGTGATTATGTGTGAGTGATGGTGAAAGTGTTGAACGATGAAAGTTTTTTCTTTCTTTTTGGGTCACCCTGCCTTGGTGGGAAACAGCCTACGTGTTAAAAAAAATGAACTGCAAGTAATATAATACTTTTAATTTATAAATTTTGAAAAAAAAAAAATTGTTTGAGGGAACGCATGTACCATGAAATTATTTGATACGTCTTCCCCAATTTAGAGGAATGAAGTAATGCTTAGTTTTGTAGTTAATTTACCAAGTCTGACTTTAAATTTAGTTAAAAGAAAACCATGGATGTGGTAAGTATTGCACCATACTGTATTATCCACCAATGGGGTACAGTTTATTAAGAAATTATCTTAAAAGCATGACTGGAGTAAGTGGTGGATTTTTGGTCTTCAAAAATGTAGAAAACTGAGTGTGGAAGTTGTCAGTGAAAAGGATTCATGAATGTAGATGTGTAAGTTGCTTAATGAGATTTATTTATGGCTCAAAACACAAAGGCAGTATAATGTGATCCTTTGACAACAATATACCTAAAGAGTGCACTTGATAGTCGCAAACAATTAACACTTGAAGTTGACGGCGCTACCTTTCCTTTTTCTTTTCTGAAAATCTGATCATGAACTACTTTTTGAAGTATACCACAAACCTTGATCTATCATGTGGTATTTTATACCATTTGTCTTCATTGGGATTTATTTATGCCGTATGATGAAAAAATGATCTTGCGATTTCTCAAAACTTTTGTAGAGTTTACCTTTACAGTTAATGCAATCTCTTGCTTATTTATTTAATTTGGCAACATGTTTTTAAAACTATTAATTTACTCAAGTTAATGCTCATTACTGATAAGTTTCAGTATTCCTCAACAGGCAAAACATATAGAGGAAAGTGAGAAACGGAGGAAAGAAGCAGAGGAAAAAGCAAGATCACAGACAGCAGAAGGAATATTGGCAGAAAAAATGAGACTTCAACAAATCCAAGAAGCTGCAGATTTACAACTTGCAAATGACCTTGTTGGGACTGGTAGCAATACTGAAGAAGGTGCGGCAGTAATATCTGATGAGGTTTAACTCTGGCTTATACTCAAAATCATAAATTTCTCCTCGTACATAAGAGGAAATAAAGATGGTTTACATATTCCTTCTTGGAGTACTGGAAACTACATAAGGTTATGTACTTATAATGCTGTTGTGTGGATGATTATTTAATCAAATTTATTTCAGAACTACAAAATACAAGGTCAGGCATTGAAATATAGAGCTTCTATTTTTTGTATCTTGTAGGCAGATACTAAACATACATATAGGTAGGACGGAACATCCATTAACCCTTTGACTGTTTTGGTCGTATATATACGTCTTACGAGCCAGTGTTTCAGACGTATATATACTCAATAATTCTAGCGGCTTCAAATCAATCGGAAGAAAGCTGGTAGGCCCACATGTGAGAGAATGGGTCTGTGTGGTCAGTGTGCACCACATAAAGAAAATCCTGCAGCACACAGTGCGTAATGAGAAAAAAACCCATCGTTTTTTTGGATTAAAACGCCGACTTTGAGGTGTATTTTCGTGTAGTATTTATCGATGTATTTGTGTTTTCATGGTCTTAGGTGATAAAATTGAAAACATATTACAGAAACAGAGATGATTTTTCATTACTTTGACACTGAAAACGACCTTGAAACTGAGCTCAAAGTAGCGGAAATGTTCGATTTTTACCAATGTTCAGGAGTAAACAAATCACACCACACGTCCAATACACGTCAACTGGGGAGTCTAATATTCTTTCACTAGCGCACTGATATTATTTATACCATTTTTGCAATAATGCAGTAGTCTGCATAACAGTAAATTTTGTATTTTTTTCTATGAATAAAAAATCAAAATAGAAAGCAATAATAATATAAGAGGGGCCTAGAGATGTGACTAATGAACAGAGGATATGTTATTTTAGTGCCAAGAATGTCTACCTTGTTTATTCTGGACCCTATTTTGAAATTGGCATCTTTTTTAGTTTGCGTGAAATTGGCCAAATTGCCAATTTCTGACCACAATATTGGGTAGTCCAAATTGGTAAATGGGAGGTTTCTTGTACTCATCTGATAGATAAAATGGAGTTCTAAAGAAATAGCTATGAGTTTGGTCAACTGGAACAACGGAATTGGCTGAAAATAGGGCTCAAAGTCGGCGAAATCGCCGATACGCATATGTCACCAAGACCGCTAACTTCGCAGGAGCGTAATTCCATGAGTTTTCGACCAAATTTCGAACTTTTGGTGTCATTACCATCGGGAAAAGATTCTCTATCATTTCATAAGAATTTTTTTTTTTTTTTTTTTTTTTTTTTTTTTTTTTTTTTTTCAAAAATTTAGCGACATAGAATGACAGTTTCAGAAAGGGGCCTGAAACAGTCAAAGGGTTAAGTCTTGATACCTGTGAAAGACTTGAGCAGAGAATTGGAGCTACTCTCCTATATTGCCTTTTCATTCCACAAGCTTCTGAATGACCCCTATGGATTTGGTGCTCCCTCCAATGACATTTAATAACATGGAACAGGATTGAGTCATTATTCTGGCAACAGAATTCTTTTAAGGGGCAGTTTTCAGGTCCTTGGGGGTCACAGTATAAAACTAAACAGAATATAATGTGGTTATTTTATTTATTAGTTGGTCTTTTAGCACAAGTAAATGACTGGGCTATGATCACCAGTTAACCACTTTTCTTGAATCTCTTTGCAGGTGTTGCCTTTCTTTCTTTGTGTCAAATTCGTGTTGCATATTGTCATGTGGTAATGACAATGCTTACAAGGCATGGTGTTGAGGATAGTCCCTTTTTTTTATACAGGGGATGCGAAGGCTTACTCAGCCCTGTAACAACTTCAGACAGTATTACCAAGGCTGGCTGGCTCCTCGGGAAAATTAATGAATAGAAAAAGAAATAATAATTCACAAAGATAAACACTATTATTTATTAATGCAAAGATAAAACACTGAAATATGAAGGTGTATCCTACTTGAAAGAAAAATGAAAAATGAAATGGAAAAATGACATTTGAATTCAACGCTAATATATACAGTGATACTGGGGTGTCTGGTTGAGGTTGACACCGTCTTGTAGAAATTGTAGCCGTTGCTGATGGGGGGGGGGGGGGATCACAGGTGTTTAGTGACAACCCAACTACTAGTTCTTCACAGAGTCTATAGCCTTGAATAGTCAGTCCAGATGACAGGAACACAGGTTCTTTACCACTGCAAAGATGAGGGGTAGTGTCCTGTACAATTAATCAGGTAAGTAGATAATGAAGTGACGTCCCAAGACCTTTTCAGTCCGTCTCCTTCAACACTTCTCGTTGGTTGGCAGGTGACCCGATCTGTCATTCCAAGCTGGAAAGAGAGACAGGTTACCCACTGCTTAAGAAAACACTCTCCATGATGAGTGTAAGATACTTAAAAAAGGTGGTGACTATCTAAAAGTCTCATGGGGAGCTTAAAACTGAAAGGACCACATTTATTATTGGTCAAAAGTGAAGCTTTCAACCAATATCCACTAGAATAGGAGCAGAGGCTTTTACTTAGTTGTGCTGGGAGCTGTGAGTCGAGTGATTACTGTTTGGCCGGAGCCCCACACGTCACCTTTCGGGGTGGGGAAAAAGGAGGGGAGGGGATAGCGGGAGCTAGACTGACTCTACCTTAACAAGCAGCCGGCAATCAAACTATCGTTACCATAAACTCGCTTGCTATTCCTATCTGTTGAACTTTTCCCTCACACTCCCCCATACCAAGACTTAGTCAAGGAGTATAAGAAGAATAGGCGAGGAAAAAGTTCTAATACTAAGTCGCATAAGGCAACAAATCTACTGACTGTCATGACTTAACCAGTCAGAGAAATAATTGGATGAACCATTGATATATACAATATGAAACTTAAAAGCTTGGAGTGCCAGTGTCCACCTTAAGAGGTGACTGTTGGTACCCTTAAGTTTCTAGGTATATAAAAGGTTTGTGATCTGTTTCTAAAATAAATTCTTTTCCCAGTAAATAAAATTTAAGTTTGGAGATATCCCACACAAGGGCCAAGCATTCCTTTTCTATGGTGGAGGATCTCGTTTCTGCAGGAAGACGTTTCCGGCTTAGGAAGCATACAGGGAAGGGAGTATCATCATGGTACTGTGGTAACACCACACCTAAGCCAGTATTGGAGACATCAGTCCTTAAACAAAACGGCTTATTAATATCTGGAATTTTGAGTATAGGGTCTTTAGAGAAGATGTCCTTAATCTCATTAAACTTTTCTCGAGCTACGTCGGAAAGTTCAAGAGGTTCCTTCACAGACTTTTTAAGGTAGTCAGATAAGATGCCTGTAAGATCAGTGAGGTTCGGGACAAACCGTGCATAAAAATTTGCAGAACCAAGAAAGCTACGCATGAGCTTCTTGGTTTTGGGGAATTTAAACTCTAATAAAGCTTCGATTTTACTGGGGAGAGGCTGCAAAGAGTTATTAGAAAGGATCAGTCCAAGATATCTAGTCTTGTTATACCCAAGGAAGCATTTCTTTGGCTTGGCAGTGAGGCCATGTGAGTGTAACCTACGTGAAACTGATGTTAATGTTTGGATATGCTTGCTCCACGTCGATGTCATTACGTAAATGTTATCAAAATAAACTGAAACATTTGACATATTACCCAAGACCTTTCTCATCAGTCTCACGTAGGTAGCACAGGCAGTTACCAAACCGAAGGGCATAGTTCTATACTGCATCAGTCCTTGGTGGGTAGGAAAAGCAGTGTACTGCTTAGAAGAAGGATCTAACATTACTTGATATGCCTGTGCAATATCAATCTCTGAAAAGAAGGAAGAGTCATAAAATTTGTGTAGATCGCTATCTATTAAGGGCATAGGCTCAGCATCCCACCGAGTTAGAGTATTAAGGCCTCTGAAGTCAATAGCAAGTCTATATGAATTATCCTCCTCCTTAACCATGACTATTGGTGAGCAATATGCAGATACTGAAGGTTCAGTGATCTTTAGTTTTAATAATTTGTCTACCTCTTGGTCAAATGTATCCCTAAGGTGAACTGGAACTGGGTATAATTTCCGTTTGATAGGATTGTCCGTGACGAAGTCAATTTTATGGACTACCGTGGAGGTGACACCTGGAATATCAGTAAAAACGTCTGAGAAGTTACTCACACATTGAAGTAGTTCATGTTTCTTATGGTCATCCAAAGACTCGTTAATATTAATGTTTGTTGCACCCGAGTGGTCAAGAGTCGCCAAGTCATGTAGTTCTCTGTCATAGTCTACATTAGAGGTGTCAATTACGCACACCTTACACTCCTCAGTAGTCTTATCAAGTTTGTGTGGAAAAACTAAATTAAAGTAATTCAAACAGTTAACCGAATTTCTTCGGTAATATTTCTTAAGAATGTTGATATGATAGAGCTTAGGTTTCCCCTTGACTTCTATGAGGTAATCAACCTTCCCACAAATTTTTAATACCTTATATGGACCTTTCCATGCTACTAATAATTTATTTGACTTGATAGGCAAAAGTACCAGAACTTCATCCCCTACTTTAAAACATCTCCTTTGACTTTTGGAATCAAAATAGGTTTTGTACTGGTTCATTGACAAGCTTGTTTTTCGAAACTGTCAGAGGTCTCCTCAAGTTTGGATCTAAGGTCAAGGAGAAACTGATAAGAAGACTGAACCTCAGCATTCACGTCCTCATTAGTCCATAAATCATGAAGGATGGACAATGGACCTCTGGCCTGTCTACCATAGAGAAGTTCAAAAGGTGAAAACCCCAGAGAGTCACTGGGAACTTCCCTCATGGCAAACAAAGCGCAGGGTAGGTAACGATGCCACTCCTTAGGTTTAAGGGAGCAAAGTTTCCTTAAAATGGACTTGAGAACCGAATGCTGGCACTCAATCCTCCCATTACAGCTGGGATGATATGGTGTTGTGAAGAGAGGCTTCACTCCCAAAAGTTGGTAGAGATGTTACATTAAGTCTGATGTGAATTGTGTCCCACAGTCAGACA